AGAAGAAAGAAATTCAAAAGTTCATTCCCTGGAAAGATAAACAAAATTCATGGAGGAAAACCGAGGAAATGAAAATAATGTCAGGAATGAAAAAAGAGCATGTCATTGATTAAGGTGACAAAAAATACTATTTACATTTGTGACCATAAATATAGAGTGAAAACAAATTCAAGAAGGAACATAGTACTGAATAGTTTAAATTTTTTTCTTGGTACCAGGGTTTGAACTCAGGACCTTGCACTTGTGAGACTAGCGTGGTACCAATGAGCTTAAAAAAATTTTTTTAAAGAAATTAAATGAATAGCTAAAAATTGCCTGTAATGACAACACCAAAGCAGCTGTTTTACAGATGAACTCCATCAACTTTAATCTTACATAAATTCTTCTAGAGAATTGAGATAATAAGAAAGAAGTAGCTGGGCGTGGTGGTGCATGCCAATAATCCCAGCACTCAGGAAGCTGAGGCAGGTGAGTTCCAGGTCAACTACATAATGAGACCCTGTCTCAAAAAATAAAAAAACAAACAAAACAAGGAAGAAGTACTGGGAGGGGAATTTAGCTCAGTGGTGTCACTGCCTGCCTCAAAAGTACAAGGACCCGAGTTCGATCCCTGGTACCAAAACAAAACAAAAAGGAAAGAAGTACTCCCCAGCTCCCAGTATGAGGTGCTTTTATTCCAAACAGACAAGATAGTAAAGAAAGGGAAAAGCATGAGCATAGATGCAGAAATAAAAACAAAATTGCAATAAACCAAAACGAGCTAATGTCTGAAAGAGCTGATAAATCTCCAGGAATAGAGAAGTTACTTTAACACTTGAAAAATCTGTAAATGTCGGCCAGGCGTGGTGGCACACACCTGTAATCCCATCACTCGGGAGGCTGAGGCAGGAGGATCACTGTGAGTTCGAGACCAGCCTGAGCTACATAGTGAGTTCCAAGGCAGTGTCACTACATGCTGAGACCCTGTCTCAAAAAACCAAAAAAAGAAAAGAAATGCCCAGAGAATTAGTAAACTACACTTCTGCGGGCAGGTCATGGAGGCATGACGTTGGGGATCTTATCTGTTCCCCTGCTTGGCTTCCTGGCTGCTGTGAACTGAGCACCTTTGCTGTACCACGTCCTACCAATGCTGGTCCTGCCTTCATGCTGGCTGGTC